TATGTGGTTCAAATTCCTTTAACTTGAAAAGCCTTCCTTGGACAAAGCTTTGGAGATGGGGTCAGACTGGAGCCTTCTTTTCACTATTTTGTGCCCATTGTACATTGGGCTGCGCAGTGGGGGGGGGGTGTCTTTCCCTCTGATTTAATGTTTGCATCTTTTTGCAAACACTGGAATTCTGCCACACCAACTTGAAGCTTCCTATTATACACTGATTTGCCTATATAAGCATAGTTCTGTTTTGCCTACGTAAGCATAGGCCTTTAGAGAATGAATTTGATGTTTATATACAGATACAGCTAATGAATGGCTGATGTTCCCTCTACTGTACAGAATTAAAGGTGCATTTCAGTTTAAATACTGATTAGATAGCTTAGGTAGAAATCACTATTTAATACAGAATGTACAAGATGCCCTCTCTTGCCTATGATATCAAGTTCTTCATTTTTCCGGCCTTTCATTTAATAGCATTTAATAGTTCTAGGACATTTTGCTACTGAGCCATTTTGAAAAACAAACATTTGGGTCATAACCACTCTCGAGTACCCATTTTACATTATAATCCATGTGTATTTCCTAGCACTGGACAGTTCACACACACACACAGGTAGATTGACAAAATTAGCAAGTGAATTTATCGATCCATCCTTAAAACCACACATGTTGTTTGATATGACTTGCAGGGAGCGTAAAAGCTTGACTCATTTTCACCCATGGAAATCAAAGGCAAACAAAGCTGTAAGTCACTACAGTGACTCATTGCTAGCTATGAAAAAAATAATTCGTGGATTTGTTTGTAAAATCATATTCGCTACGTGGAACAGTGACATTTGAATATTGTATGTCTGACTCCTTAATCTAAATGGCGAAGGGAATCGGGTACAACCAGAAGAATTATGGATTGCTTAGGAAACTATTTAATATGATACGGTTGCAATGGCTTCTATCTATCTTTTTTTAAAAAGTTTGCTGCTTCTCTCTCAAAAGTGGAATTAGCACAGCAGAAATAAAACGTCTACAATTAGCAATTCTGTTAATTGCTAACTGAGTGAATTCCTGCACTATTCAGAAATATTCCATTGGTGACCCAGGACGGAAAATAAAGAGTTGCCGGTCCTTTTCCTAGTAGTTAAAATGCTCAAAGAAATGCCAGTGCAATCTTCCAACATTATTTTGCTAACAATTTGATTTGGGTGCTTTCTTTGTTGACTGATTGGGTAGTTTTTAGGGGGTGGGGAAATGGGTGCCTTAACCTTGCAGACCTTTCTGGCACACCCTTTAAAAATGCTAACCTTCCCCCCTTCTTCTTATTGGGGGGATGGTTTAAGGAATTAAGTGGGTGCCTTAAGTCTCTGCAAAGCTTAAACAACAAAAGAGCAATGGCATATCGCTGGCCATCATTTTCATCATGCCACCATTAGTTTAAGAAGGTTCCAATACATCTCCACCATTAACTGTGTAAATTAAGATTTGGTTTAGGCACCATCCAATCCCCCCCCCCTTTAAAAAAGAAAAATAACTTTTGGGGTATTGGTGAGTGGATCACTTCCTGCTTCTATGAGAGATACATATATAACTTGTTGCATAATAACTGTAATATTCCCCATCTGTTTTCAATTAACTCTAGTGTATAAACTTTCTTTTGAAAACATGTTATGAATGAATATGACTTGATTGGCAGCTAGGATCTCTTCATTAACTTGTGACTAAGCACTTTTCTTTAAACAATACCAGTGGCTTCTTTCAGTAAGAGAGAAAGCGCTACCTTTCTGGATTTCATTGCTAATGTAGAACCCCAAAAAGACTTGTGTACATATATAATGGTCTTTTTTTTACTGTATTAAAACTCACTTTTAACACAGGTATCATTTGTACTGGCTGATTATTTGAAACAGCTTGATGGCCATGTGAAAATTCATTAACTCAATATTTGTTCTCCCTCTTTGCCCCTTGTGTTTTAAGAGTATAATTGTCATCTCCATAGCAGTTATATTCACAGGTTTTTTTTTATGGACAACACACCGATTTATAGAGTTGTGCAAGAACCTCAAACTCAAAACAAATTAACCTAGAATAGTCCATCAATACAGTCCAAACATGCACTGTTTTAATACTGTAGAATAAACCCTGTATTTTCTTTTTGTGTTGTACCCTTGGAAGCAATGAAAAGTCAAAAGTTATCCCCTTTCAACCTTTTTTCATCATTATCTACAAACGGAGGTTGCGCGATATTCCATGTTGAGTATTATGTATTGTCTTAGCTGGAAAAAAAAATAGGCAGGACAGTTGTTTTCATATTTACTTTAAAAATAGCAAACAAAGCAAGAATTCAGCATGTATTTTTCAACGCCAGCTCTGAGTCAAAGAGGCAATATTTAGTAATGGGTTCACATCAGTCCAGCTCATGAACGACTTCAAAGCAGAAATACACTTTTCCAGCTACCAATTTATATCTTTTTAATGTTCATGTAGAATACACCTTTTTAAATATATATTTGGCCCTGTCTTTAAAGCTCAGCAGATGAATAAAGCGACATGTTTAGTATTTGGTAACTTGAAGACTGAATAGCAAAGTAACTATGATGCACGCATGCTGTGCGTTATTTTGTATTTGGCAATCTGTCTATAAAAGAAAGCATAAAAGACAGAACATATGGGTGACACCACATTACAACCCACCGTCTCAAAACAAACCATTAAAAGTGGAAAATAAACTTCCCCGACAGGTAAACAGGAAGATTATTCCCTCAACTAGCTCCACCCAGTAACAACAGGAAAATCACCAGTTATTAACACACCGAGTGTCTCTGGCTGGCTTGAGGTATTTAAAAACAAAATAGTTGTGTGGCCTGTAAAGAAACCCAAAACATGAAGTAAACTGCTTCATTTTGTTCTTTCTTTGATCTTTTTTATATCCTTTCTCTTGTACAGGGGTTAGCAACCCGCGGCTCTGGAGCTGCAGCTCCCTGTCACCAGTTGGTACCACAATTTTGAGAGGAGCTTCCGGTTTGAGGAGGGGGGGGGAAGCAGGGCGCACCAGGAGGAGACTCTATGGCAAGGGGTGGATTTTCTGGTCAGCTCCATAATTGATAGTGCTTTCGGTTAGGACAGGTAGAGGAAAAAGGAGATCGTGATATGAAGAGACTCTATGGTGGGGGAACCAGACTTCCAGTTGGCAGAGGAAAAAGGACAGCATGCTAGGAAGAGACTCTATGGTGGGGGAACCAGACTTCCAGTTGGCAGAGGAAAAAGGACAGCATGCTAGGAA